AGAAACTGTGTCTATACTAGTGTGCTATTATTCACATGGGCAAATTCCCATACTAAAAACCACTTTCCTAAATGTCCCACCCCCTGCTGCAATCCTTCCTAAAAGTCTGCAATAATCCACAACCACAGATCAGACCCCTAAGAGTTAACCAACGCTTTCTAACCTGCATGGCATTGGGTCTCCAGAACAAAATACAAGATACAATAGGGCTGAAAACCCTTCCTATGGGAAGACTAGAAGCATCTACCCTGAGAGAGTTTCAGAAGCAACATCTTCAGGAATACCAGGGGAACACAGTTCACTGAGATGAAGCGTGAGCAGTAACAACGAGAAGGTTCTGAACCTCAACCACCTAGCGATGTAAGTGACTGGATATGAAATTTACAACTTAGACCATCTACAACTCTTTCCACACAAACTCTGAACTCTGGCATCTTCCAAATAGTATTAGTATTAGGGAAAAAATACGTTAGGTATTTTTTAAAACCCCATGTGTTTCTGTTTGTACAAGACCCCACCAATATTAAGAAAATATTTGACAATGTTTTAGACATACAAATTTCATGTAACGGCATAAGCAACGTATTTGTTTTTGAATTAACTTTATGCGTGAAAGCAACAAATAAAATTACTTAAGAATCCAGGAAGAAGGAGCTTACTCAACTTGAAAAGCTTTACTACAATGATTTGTAGCATCCTGTGATATATTATTTTTAACTGTTGGACCTTCCAAACTACTGGTACCATGTGCAGTGAATTAATTTTTTTACTCAGTATTTAAATTCGTTTGTTGCCTATTGTGATTATCAGCTGACAAATGCTTATCTTCTAACAAACTAGGTTACACCTTGCTTAAATGGATACCCTTTGGCTTCAGTTAAATATTTTGTTTTGGCCAGATGTGATGGCTCATGTCTGTAATCCCAGTGCTTTGGGAGGCTGAGGCAGTTGGATCATGAGGTTAGGAGTTTGAGACCAGCCTAACATGGTGAAACGCTGTCTCTACTAAAAATACAAAAATTAGCCGGTCATAGTGGTAGGCACCTGTAATCCTAGCTACTCAGGAGGCTGAGGCAGAAGAATTGCTTGAATCCAGGAGGCGGAGATTGCAGTGAGCCAAGATTGTTCCATTGCACTACAGCCTGGGTAACAGAGCAAGATTCTGTCTTAAAAAAACAAAAAAAACAAAAAAATTCTTTTTACCTGCATAATAACAATAATGACTGGTTAAAACTAATTCTACAACAAAATCTTTTGTGTTTTGCTTTCTAATCTTTAAATGGTTGAAAAATTGTATATTTCTGTTTCTTTGACTACAAAAATTCTTTAAGAGTTATTTTATAAAACAAAAATTTTGAATTAAGGTTATTCAGTCAGCAATATTAGACACTTTTAGGTTCTTATACTTTGATAACTACAAAAGGAAACAGCACTATAAAAATCATGCTTGAATATTCTGTTGTAAAATATATTACATAAAGAAGAGATTTTTCTTGCTCCTTTCTGAAGACCATATATACTGGATTTAAATATTTAATATAAATTACATCCTATTGAAGTTAAAGCTAAATTAATTTTACGTCATTAGGAAGACAATTCTTAACTCATAGTTAAATTTCAATAGAAAAGAAACAAACAATACTTCAAAAAAATTCGTATTTCTTTCTTAACGGGTAGGTAATATATGCAACCAAACTATAAAAAGAAGCTTTAGAAAGAAAATTAGAGTACTTTAAATTACATTGACACAAGAAATGCCAAGTTTCTGTCAAGCAAAACTACTCCTACATGCTATCTGGGACATAAGATTCAGTTTTACTCACTTCCAGAACACTTAAGCTACATCTTTTACATAATAATCTAAAAGCTGGTCATCTAAAAGAAAATTTATCAGACTTCAAGGTCTGCATTACTAATACAAATCCATTATGTGGGAACCTATCATTAGATGACGGAGAGGGGGGAAACAAATTTCCATTACAAATATCGTTGTTGGATAAGCAATTCTTCCAAAAAATAGGAGGAGGAGAAAGAGGAGGACACAAGTCCTTATATCCAGCTACTAAGACTTAGAAAAATTTTAGGTTTAAGAGTTCATGTTTTAGTTTTCAGGAATTTTTTATTTTAAGAAGTAATTTTTGTTTGTTTGTTTGTTTGTTTGAAAGACTTTTTTATTCTTCTGGGTTGATATTAGATACACCAAGATACTTAAGAGGAAGAAATAACCAAGCATCAAAGATGAATCTGACTTACACTCATGAATTTTGCATAAGGAGGTTGGTTTTAAAGCCTACAGCGGTTGTTATTATCACAGCTCCTTATTTTACTTGTCTTGGAGCCAAGAACTAGAGCTCTAGCAGAAATACAAATATGCAAAGATAGTAAGATTGGGATGTGCTCTTTCTTATTTACTTCTATGTTGATATTAACTGATACCCTATAGTTCCAGAGCCATCTTCCATGAACTCTTCCTCCACGCAAACTTAAGTTATGGTGATACACTACAAATAAAATAAAGAGCAAAATAGAGAATAAGAGAGTAATACAAGCAATCATGTGTGAAAAAAGTTAACTGGCTAATTTGGTAAATGTTATTAGATGACAAGATTCATTAATTCAAATCTGATATTACTAATTTCATCCTAGGTTTTAAGTACACTTGTAAAAATTAGTGGAGAAAGTCTTTATCATTGTATTTTAAAAATAAATTTATAAACATCTACATGATAGAATTATTCTTCCTTTAAAAATTTTACATGAAATCAGAAACTTTTTTAAAAACCATATTAATATTCAAAATCATAAAAACAAATGATTTTATGCCAATTTGCTGTTTTTCTTCATAGCATTTTCCTATAATTCAGCAAAGGGCATGATAACGAAAGTTTCCATTTAACATAAGTATTCTAAAACCCTAAGTACCAAATACTGAAATCCAGAAAGTAGTTAATCAGATGGCCTTTACAAGTTTTAGTTATGTAAAGAATCATCATCAAAACATAGGTTAAAGTGCTTTTAAATGCCATTTAAAATGTTCAGAATCTATACAATGATTTATGCATAATTTTTAACTTTATGTGAGACAATATTCAAGAAAATTTCAAGTAGAATTTCAATTCTTAATGTAATTGTCACAGAAATATATTGTCCCTCTGAACAAGGCCATGTTTGTTAGATGCTTATGCTTTAAGAATAACTTTGACCAGATTTATTTGAAAATAAATAACATATATAAAAACAAATAATGCGTCTCTCAGTTTGAATCAAAAGCTAGTTTAATAAAAAAGATAGAGAGAGAAGAAAGAAAGAGAGGAGGACCAGGAAACATTTCTGAATGGAATTCAAGAGGCAGGAACAGCAAAAAAACAAATTAGTCAAATGAGGACACTTCAGTAAAGATAAATGCTAGAATAAATATTTATCAGATGCAAATACTGAAGTATTAACATAAAAAAGAAATTATACAAATCAACAGACAAAATGACTGTTACAATTAATACTTCTACACACACACACACACACACACACACACACACACACACAGAGGCAGACAGACACTCACACACCCCTCACCTTCATATGCTATACAGAAACCAGTTTGGAAGAGCTATTAAAAAGCAATGTATCCCTTTTGCATAGTTCTTTTAAAGAAACACATATACACTTATCAAAACTTTTAAATCAATGTAAATTCATAATATCAAACAGTAAATTTCTAAGTTGCCTAGGACTCAGAGTTAATCCAGATTCAAGTATAACTATATTTTTATTTCATCTTTAAGTTACACATATCTTATCCCACATATTCCAAATATATTAGAAATGTGTAAGCCTCCTATTTAAAAATCCCTTAAAAAGCAAGTCTGGTGGATACGTCAAAACTCCTTTCTGTTGTTGAGTTGGCTAGTGAAAAGTCATCACGCTTACGAACAATGTAATATTCTCACGAAAGCTTTAAGCTTTCTGATGTCAGAAGATGTGTAGCATTCTGTGACAAGGGTTTTTTCCCTTGTGCCCAGACTTAATGTAGCAAGAACAAGCAGGCTTTTGAATCAGTGCTCCACTTTAAGCATTTGCCTGCTTGTGAGATTTATACTCAACTACAGTTTGGCTCCCTTCTAATGTGATTCCTGAGCTATACGCTTCTGCAAACTGACAGAAATCACAGGAGATGTGAAAAATGCAACAATACTAAAAACAGATGTTGGTGTAAAATTCCAGGGCCATTTACTTGGTCATTTCACTATTTAATGTACAACTTCTATGCTGAAAACAAAGGGCTGGTTTTTTCCTCTTAAAATACCTAGAACCATGAAATATCTAGAGGAGGTGAAATAGGAAATTTATGGGATGGGGACTTGAGGAGGTGGGTGGTAGGAAGTAAAGAAAAGCTGACAGAAGGTTAGGTTGAAAGAAGAAAAAAAGTGCTGAAATCCACACTACGTTTTTCAGTGGTCATAGAGTAGCCATCCTTCGTCTTTCTCTCATTTTCTTTTAATCTAGTCCAGTGATACCTCCAAATGGATAGGCTACAGGTCAGAAGTATTATGATCTGGGGATGAGACAGGAATTAAGAACAACTGGTCTTGAGCATAGTTGCTTTCATGCCAAAGAAAATGGTAGATTTTGTTTCTCCCTAATATTTACCAAGAAATACCTAACCCAAACCTCCTGCCTTTGAAAAAATAAAAGAGCTGCATTTAAGGTGACATTTAATAAAATACCTACATTTGGAAATCAAGGAGAGTAGTAATAGCAGTTACTTTCTTAAAGAGTGAGTCACGGATTTATTATTAACCACCTCAACCACACTTTTCTTCAAAAGATTCACATTAATACTCCAAATACGAATCTCCTATTTGTTTGCTCCTGAGAAATGATGATCCCAAAGTTATTGCTAGGGTAATATAGGACCCTTTGTTCTGCCACGAGCACCTGCTTTAATAGTAAAAAATAAACAGCAGGGTTTGGTTACTCTATATTCTTATTAACAAACTTACATGACTTCCTGTTGGAAACTTTCAGGGGCTGAACCAATATTTCTGGTCGTCTCAGAGCCAGTCTCCTGGGAGAAAGAAGTCAACATGCCTATCAATTTTCAGCACAGGTCCAAGGTGAATACAACATCAAAATATTTAGTTTTAAGAAAAAACTCAAAGGTTAGATAAAAAATGAATGCAATGCAATCTATTCAAATTAAGAAACAAATCGTCCACTTTCCCATTTTTGTAAATTATCTTCCCTCCCTCCAAAACCAATGGTCTTTTTTTTTCCACCTTTCACATCAACATGGTTTCAAGATATTAATGTGCTATTTTCCATTTGCTTCATAACAAAAAATCTAATATGACCCGGTACTGTCATATTATTTTTGGTCATTCATCATACTTAGTTAGACAAAACAGAAATCCAAACCCAAGGGATAAAAAAATTCTACGGCAAGGTTTTATAGCATATTTTATCACATCAATGCTAGAATGATATTTTGCAGAGAACAAAAGGTCAGCTGGAGAAAAGCCATTATTATGTACCAGCAGCTCACCTTTCCTGGAAATGCTTTGAAGGGATCAGGCCTGCCCTGGGATTGGCGTCACCTTCGTGTTTCGCTTGCCACCAAGTTGCATCATCTTGGCTCATAATCTGAAGAATATCTCCCTTTTTGAAAGCAAGCCCAGCTTCCTTACATGGAATTGCCTTATCCTCATTAGGATTATAGTCAAAGAGGGCTTTGATAAACATCTGGAAGAAAAGTTTCACTGAAGATGAATAAATGTAAAAAAATATACAAGAAATGCCCTATATTCTCTTGACTCTGATTCAAAACATAATAATTTTAAAACTAGAATATTAAAAGAAATGCGTTGTGACAAAGTGGATATGTGTTTGATGAAAAAACACGACTTCCCTCCCACACACACACACACAAAAATGTTTTTAAGCAATGATTACCTTGCCTTCTTTTGATGGTGTCTCCTCTTTGATGCCAGGTATAATCTTAAATGTAATTGCTCCCTGAGACTGAGCCTGGTATCAGATGAAAGAAAGAGTTACAGGAAAACCAGAGCCAAGGAAAAATAAGGTAAAATAGGTAGAAACTGAAATGCATCTGAAATTTACAAGCTTGAGGTTTCTACTCTTAGATAGACTAAACGGAGGAAACCGTTTTTTGTAGAAATTCCTGTAATGTGAGAAAGAAAGCTCTAAAGTTTGTAGGGTAAGTTAAAAAACATTAACTCCTAAATCCACTTTTACTTCCTGTGTACTTTTAAACTGTCACTAAATAGATTCTCATCCAAGATTCCTCAAAATAGAAACACACAAAATATGCACAACACCTTAAATAAACACGGTATTAAATGACTAGAATAGATCATGTATAAAGAGCTGAGGGCAGTGGCTCATGCCTGTAATCCCAGCACTTTGGGAGACCAAGGTGGCAGGATCACCTGAGTCCAGGAGTTCGAGGCTATTCTGAGAAATATGGCAAAACCCCAATCTCTAGAAAGAAAAATAAAAATTAGCGGAGTGTGGTGATGAGGCTAAGGTCTCCTGAGCCCAGGAGTTCGAGGCTGCAGTGAGCTGTGATCGCACAAGTGCGCTCCAGTCTAGGCACAGAGCAAGACGCTCTCTTAAAAAAAAAAAAAAAAAAAGGAATAATGTACAGGATGGTGCAAGCAGTTACATTTAAGTATCAGCATCCATGTTTTGGGGAACAAAACACCTATATTGTTCAACAGTGTGGTTATAAAACACATTATTCAATTAGTGGCAATGCCTATCAAAAAAAACAATAAAGAACATTCATATCTATTGTATTGTGGTGAGTAAAATGTAGAGATTTACTGCAAGATGAAATGATTGAGTATCTATTCTAACTTCATTAAAACAAGTACCAGCACCCACAAACTTTTGTTATCTCAGACAAGATCTCTCTTTAAATATACTCTCATGTCATTTTCTGTCTCTCTCTTTTTAGCACTTGCTGTAGCCATATTTAATTATTTATGCAATTATTTCTTAAGATATGTTACTCCTGCCAAATTGTAAGCTCCACAAAAGCACTAAATACTTGGCACATTTGAAAGATATGTACTGCCTGTCAATTTCCATGGTAGAAATACTTTCACTATAGCCAATTTCGATTCACCGGCATGAAGTTGCTGAAAGCTGAATTGGGAAATGGTGCATGCAGTCACCTTTGGCATCCCTTAAGAAGGTAGCTCTAGTGTAACACAGTAACTTAAGTAAAATGGGATTCTGTATACATAAATAACAGAATTTTATAAAGGGTTGATTTATTTCGAAATAGCAATATCATTGCTATTGCTTATCATAAAAGGCACTCACAAATCTTATTAAGAATTTTTATACTGTAATACTGAATTGCATTGGTAGAGAGAAAACAAAAGTCTTCTCTGTAATCTCCTCTTACTTTTCTAGTTTTTGTATGTGTGTGTGTTTTTTTTAATGGATCTATGGTCCTCACGACAGTGTCATTTATAAAGAACTCAATCTATGGTAGCAATTGTTATTATTATTACTGCTAAGCCATATAGGTCTATCTCTCATTGTGATTGCCTCACGATAACCTAGCATATAGATGAATGATTACATAATCAATGTAACTTTCTTCGTAGTTTCCAAATGTTTTAAAAGTATTTTGTTTATACACATTTACCAAATTATTGCTTGAGGATTAATTTCCAACAGTTGAATTTCTTGATTAAAGGGTATGCATATTTAAAATTTTGATAGTTTCAGATCTCAAAGTGTTCTACTAATAATTTATTCCAACACCAAATCATTAAATATATCTATTTTCCTATACCCTGACCAACTCTAAGCATCATAAAGCTTTCCAACCTCAAGTAACCCGACACTTTCCAGATATCTATGTTTCCTTTTGTAAAGTATTTGTCCAAATACTCTCTTGATTTTTCTGTAAATGTTTTGCTTATTGATTTTTATCATCTCCCTCTATGCTGAAATATTACCCTTTTATTATATATATACAGAAACTATTTTTCCTACAATCTCATTTGTCTTTTATGTTTCTTTATGGCACCTTTTTTCTGCAAAGAAAGTTTTGAATTTGAGTAGACACATCTGATATTTTTCTATTTAATTTTCATATCGAGGTTAAAAAGTCTTTTTCTACCTTGTAATTATAAAACTTGTATATTACATTTTATTGTGCAATTTTTGTGATAATTTTGTACTTAAATATTTAACTTGCTGGGAATTTGTTTTTATGTATAGTGTAAAACAAAAATTGACCTTATTTTTTTTCTGAGTCATTAACCTCATACCATTTATGAAATGGTTCCATTGTCTTCCCACCGATTTAAAATACCACCTTGACCATATACTAAATTTTCATTTATACAGAGATCTGTTTTGAGACACACTCAAACCTCTTCTAGTTGCTATAGGTTTCCAATATGTTTTCATATATAAAAGAGTTTCCCTTCCTTTTATCTCACAAATGAACTTTAGAATTAATATTGCCGAGGCCTAAAATAATTTTATTCAAATGTCAGATTTCAAAAGACATCGAAATTAGTTTGACTAATTTGCATTGCTATGATCCATAGACTAGATCAATGGGAAGAAGACAAAGATAAATGCATCACCAACCACAGTGTAGATGTAATCTGTTAAGTACAGACTCAGGACAGGTACTAAACTTTTTTTATTTATTTTTTTTTTTTGAGACCCAGGCTGGAGTGCAGTGGCTTGATCTCAACTCACTGCAACCTCCATCTCCCAGGTTCAAGCAATTCTCCTGCCTCAGCCTCCAAAGTAGCTGGGACTACAGGCGCCCACCACCATGTGCAGCTAATTTTTTTTTTTTTTCCTTTAGTAGAGACAGGTTTCACCATGTTGGCCAGGCTGGTCTTGAACTACTGATCTCAAGTGATCCACCTATCTCAGCCTCCCAAGTGCTGCAAGTGGGATTACAGGCATAAGCCACTATATTCAGCCCTAAAACTCTTTATATATACTACCTCATTTAATCCTCAAAACACTTCATATGGATAGTTACCACTTATTCCCATTTTGTAAATGGAAAACACTGAGGGATGAATAGATTAAGGTATTTTTCAAGGACACACAGAGATTAAGTGATGGAGCTGGGATTCAAACCATGCACTGCTTAATCCAAATCCTGTATATGTCAAACCAAGTCTAAAAGTCTGAAATATACTGATTCAATTTTATTTTTATTGCACCTTTAAAAGGAATTTACAGCTTACCAAAATCTGTATTATTTCCTCAGGACTTTTATCCTTAACTGGTATCCCATTCACTTCCCTAAGTTCGTCACCAACATGAATAAGACCTGAGAAATAGGAGATTCGGTAAATTAGCAGTGTCACCCACAACAGAAACTGTAATTTGCAGTTGTTTCCATAATTAAAGCATTGTCAGGTACGTTTAATACACTTAATGATTGGAAAGGAGACCTTCACACGTCTCAGGTTTCAGCCTCTACGCCTCTCCACGGCAATGACACAAGGATCACAACATAGTAACGCTGGACAAGAAATGGTAGCAGCAGCTTGGTGTTTGTCTAGAAATGCACGTTACTGATATCTGATCCTAATAAAACAATTTTCATTTATCTTAAAGGTTGCATGCTATTAGCAGTATTTTTCAATTGAGAAACACAGAAACAAGTTTTAATATAGCTTTGGATGCTTGTGTACAAGAAGACTAGAGAGTAATATTTATCTATCATTTATTTAAATAGGCTCTCACATTTCAACACAGAGAACAAAATCATATTACTTGTTTTGCTGTATTAGATCCAAAGATGATCATCCTCTTAGTTAACTATTGGAAATGCTACACACAAAATACGTGACTTGTCTGTATTCCGTTAACATTTAAAGTCTCACCACTTCTATCTGCAGCTCCTCCTCTCATGATTCTGGCCACAATGATCGCCCCAGTCTGCTCATCCTTCTTAATCGTAGCTCCCTTTTAAGACACAAGCAAAAAGCATTTGTGAGTTAATGTGTGTATTGGGTGTTAGAAAAAGGGAGGAAATAAAGACATTCACCTGAAAAAAGGGGAAACAACTACAAAATAAATAAATGAGGCAGGAAGAATAGACATCATGACATTTGGCTTATAATATCTATTCTCATGACTAGATAGAGGAAATTCTATCTACACAGCATCTAAGGGTTTCAGCCTAATTTAAAGATTTTGAAATCTTCGACTTCCTTAAAATTGTGTAAAATAAACATGTCTTCTTTCCATTATAAAAATACCTTGTATTTGAATGCTGTTTGGTTTTTACTCTTTTAAAGCACTTCTTCATTTTATCCTTGGAGTATCTCATCAAGAAAGTGGAATAGTGATAATTAAACTAATAGGCAAAAGATTCTCTATGTTAGAAAACTAAAACCCAGATCATTTGACTTTCAGTCAGTTCAGTGATCCTTCTATCATACTGTTACCATAGTTAAAAAAAAAAAAAAAAAAAAAAAAAAAAAAAAAAAAAAAAACCAAAAAAACAGGCCAGGCACAGTGGCTCATGCTTGTAACCTCAGCACTCTGGGAAACTGAGACAGGCAGGTCACCTGAAATCAGGAGTTTGAGACCAGCCTTGCCAACATGGTGAAACCCTGTCTCTTACTAAAAATACAAATTAGCCAGGCATGGTGGCAGGTGCCTGTAATCCCAGCTACTACAGAGGCTGAGACAGCAGAATCCCTTGAACCAGGAGGCAGAGGTTGCTGTGAACTGAGATCATGCCATTGCACTCTTGCCTGGGTGACAGAGTAAGATTCCATCTCGAAAAAAAAAAATAATAATAAATAAATAAATAAATAAATTGGTGAGAATTGTAAAGAAAAAGAAAAAAGTTAAAACCCAGATATTAGTCATATTTGTTGCCTGAGTCTAGGACAAATGATTAGAAGAAAGAGCTCTTAGTCCATGGTTTTAGTGAACTAGGATTGTACCTAGTACAAATAGAACTAAGTACTGGCATAAGATTAGGAAACAATCTCAAAAAGAAGCCAAAAATTCTTCACTTACAGATATTCAGAAGCAAATTAACTGCTGCTTCGTAAGAACGACAGGCATAAGTGGTTACTTTGAAAGCCTTTCCATGACTTTCCTTTTAAGAATTTGGCATTGGTTTTGCAAAGCCATCCAACATTGCATAATACTGCTAAAAAGGTATGCTTTTCAGTGGCAGCAGAATTCATCCCAAACAAGTGGAATTTTTCTCGAGTTTGTCAGTAAACACATTTATATCATCATTAAAGAACAGATATGTGAGCAAAGTAACAGTCCATCTGTAATAAATATCTTTATGTGAAACTATCAAATACATAGCTTATAATAGTAAAAAAATCAAAGAATTAAGTGACAGGCATTTTGCAGCATTTTCCATCACCTATGCATGCATTCAAAGCCAAAGACTTGAATGAACATTTCTCCATGGTCATAAACCTTAGACCCACCAATTATTGGTACTTTCTGCTTTTATTTCAATTTCTAACTTGTTGCCAAAATGACTGGAAATGTAATATTCTCAATATAACTAATTAGTTAGATTAGATCAACTTTCATTTTCCTTAATAATGTCTCAAATTTTCCCACCAAATATGCCCAATGGCAGAAAAGCCTAGTAATCTAACTCTACTTATCCATAGTTTCTGGACGAGAAATTGAATATCAAATGGCCATAATTTGTCTAAGATCAGACAACTAGTACATGGAAAATTCAGGACTTGTTTATGGCAATCTGACCAGTGACACTGGACATTCATCTTAATCATCATCCAATATGGTTTAACCTCTATCTTCCCATAACCTTGTATTCATAAGTTCATTCTGTCCATGAGTTCATTACTTTTGTGGGAAATTGCATGCCATATTCCCACATTAAGTGTTAAAAATGGTTTTGAGGCTTCAAAGGCTATAAGAAGATCTGTAGCTGCCATTGACTCCTCTGGAAACATCTCACTGCCATGTAAGAAATCATGACCATGGCTATGTTATGAGGAAGCCCAAGCTAGCCAAGTGAAGATGTCACTTAGAGCAAGAGATACTTGGCCAGCCCCCAACCTTCCAGCTCCAAGCCCAGGTAACAGCTGTGTAAATGAAGGAGCCCTCAGTTGATTCCGGCCACCACCATCTGACTGCACGCATGAGGAACTCCAAGTGTGAACTTCCCAGCTGAGCTCATCAACCCCCAAACTAATATTGTTTTAGCTACAACAAACAGGAGTGGTTTGTAACACAGAATTAGTTAAGTGGAACGAATCTCTGTCCACTGTGGACTGTGCTGTTTTTCAGTATAGGGCTATTTTGTTTGTTGTGCTTAATGCTCATCCATTTGGTTTCTTCTGTATTCAATGAGGGCTTATAATAAACGGAGGAAAAAATGTCTGTTTTCTCATCCTAATGGAGAAGACAAGACAATAAACAAGAGATGGAATAATTGCATACATTATACAGTGTGTTAGAGGGTGGTAGATTAGCCTGTTTTCACACTGCTGATAAAGACATACCCACGACTGGGCAATTTACAAAAGAAAGAGGATTAATGGACTTACAGTTCCATGTGGCTGGGGAGGCCTCACAATCATGGTGGAAGGCAAGGAGGAGCAAGTTACATCTTACATGGAAGGCAGCAGGCATGTGCTATAGAGTTTGTGCAGGGAAACTCCCATTTTTGAAACCATCAGATCTTGTGAGACTTACTCACTATCATGAGAACAGCACGGGAAAGACCTGGCCCCATGATTCAGTTATCTCCCACTAGGTGCCTCCCATAACACATGGTTATTATGGGAGCTATAAAATGATGTTTGGGTGGGGACACAGAGCCAAACCATATCAGGTGGTAAATACTGTAGGGGTACGAGGGGATGTAGGGCAGGAAATAGAAGACCAGGATGTCAGGGCAGGTGGAGGAAAGACAATGAGAAGACACGGGACTCACTGGGAATATGACATCTGAGTGAACAAAGACTGGACAGAGGTGAAAAGGTTAACCAATGGGAAGGAACAGAAGACAAAGCCAATGCAAGGTGCCAAGGGGGCTGTGAATGAAATGCTCAAAGGAGAGCAAGGCAGCCAGCATGGCTGGAGCCCAGTAGAAGAAGGACAGCAAGAAGAGAAGAGGTCAAAGGCAGAAGGGAGTCAGCTATGTGCTTTCTGTGCTTTATGAGTCACTGTAAGGATGCTGGGCTTTACTCTGAATGAAAAAGAGGAAACATGCAAGGTTGTGAACAGCAGGAGGGACACAATCTACAGGCATCCCCAAACTACGGCCCGCGGGCCGCATGCGGCCACCTGAGGCCATTTATCCAGGCCCCCGCTGCACTTCAGGAAGGGGCACCTCTTTCATTGGTGGTCAGTGAGAGGAGCACAGTATGTGGCGGCCCTCCAACGGTCTGAGGGACAGTGAACTGGCCCCCTGTGTAAAAAGTCTGGGGACGCCTGATCTAGAAGGACCACTCCACCTACTGTGTTAAGAGTTGAAGGATGGCAAGGACTACAGCAATGAACTTAATGAGAGGTTAACACGTTAGGAATTCCTTATCTGAAATGCTTAGATGTCTCAGATTCCATATTTTTTCGGATTTGGGCACATTTGCATTCTTATCGGTTGAACATCCGAAATCCAAGAATAGGAAGTCCAAAAGCTCCAATGACTATATCCTTGGAGCTTGTGTCTGCACTCAAAGTGTTTCACATTTTGGCACATTTTGGATTTCAGATCTTCAGATTTGGGATGCTCACTCTGCACAAAAATTCAAGGGAATGATGATGGTGGCACAGATCTGACTGGCAAAAGTAGAGGTGATGAAAGAGAATCTGCATATATTATTGGTAGAGTCAAAAAGGATTTCCCAATGGATTGTCTATGGAATGCAAAAGAAAGAAAGGGATTAAAGACAGGCTCAATGTCTTTTGGCTGAGCAGCTGGAAGGGTGGAATTGCCATCAACTAAAAGGGGTTAAGACAAGGGTGGAACAGATTTGGGGACAAAGATCAGTAGTTTATTTTTAGATATATGAAAACTGAGATGTCTATTAGACCTCCAAATGGAGATAACGAATAGACAGATGGATATATGAATTTAGGGATTAGAAGAAAGAACTGGAAGAGAAATAAATAACCTTGGGAGTCTCTGGCACATAGAAACTTTTTAAAGCCATGGGCAGGATAAAATCACTTCTGGAATGTGTAGATAAAGCAAAGCAATCCAATGCGTAAGGGTCTCATTATAGACAGAGATAAGTGCCCTAATAGAGTATTCTTGTATCCCTTGACTCTACTTTGCTTGGAGGGTAAACTACAGACCTGAAGAACAATCTCCCACTTTCTACATGGTACTACCACTTGAATCAATCTTCATTTTGAACCCTTCATTCTAAAAGACTTCTATTTCCACATTGCTTTCCAAACCTCTCTTACCACACTTGTTTGATGTATTCTCAGTGCAACATATTTGCATGAAAATATGATCAAATCTCAAAAACACAGAGCACATTACATGTGATACTGTAAAAGTCATCAATCCTATGGCATAGTCTGCAAATGCAAAATAAATTAAAATTGGATCTAATATGATAAAACTGACATATTTTCATACATACTTATTTTGAATTTATTCTGTGTGATTTTGGTTTAAAAATTGAGCATGGAAAATTTCAAGTTAGATTGAAAAAATAAATTCTGGTTAGATTTTTGTTAATTATTATTTCTGCAAAATGTTTTATAAAAGGGACTGCTTACTGAGTTGTCATAATTTTCTTAAACAAAAAAATTGATCTATAGAATTGCTTGAACCCAGAAGGCAGAGGTTGCAATGAGCCAAGATCACACCACTGCACTCCAGCCCGGGCAACAGAGCAAGACTCCATCTCAAAAAAAAAAAAAAAAAAAAAAAAAAATTATCTAATTTATCTCCTATTAATTGCCAATATTGCAAGGTCTCCTCAAGTAGGTGACACAGTGAAATTCAGGCTGAGCCTTTGAAATAAGTGTTTTTAAAGTGTGATTTACCAAAAAACTTGCACCACGAACATCTAAGACACTTTTTTCAAGGGAGCTTTCCCCTCAAGTGATCATCCTTTTTCTTATCCATTATCTAATACCTATACCACCTGTGTTCACAGCCTGTTCTCTGAGGTAACCATTCTCTCCTTGATCAGATCCGATCTAACTTTTATCTTTACTATTCTAATATTTACATAATGTTTGCATATTGCTTCAGAACTCATAAAGCATTCCAAACACATCATATCTTAGCTGATATTCAAAAATACTTGTGAAGAAGTATATTTCCTGATTTTCTGATAAGGAACCTGAGGCTGAGATGGCGAGGGGTTTTCTCCGTAGGACACAATGCAAAGTGACAGAATCCCAATTCCTACTTAGGTCATCCAATGCAGGCTCAGTATTCATGACATCACATTATGGATCCCAACAAACAAAACTGCATTTTTAGATAACACTGGTAACCTACACCTTGGTTGCCAAATGTTACAGCCTTTCTTCATGAATCACTTGCCAAGCAGTTCCTGAGCATCCACTTGCTAGAATTTTGTTTCAGTTTAGCTTCCCACACTTTGCCTACTTCTGATTCTCATGACTGGGACTCATTCTCCTAAAGATATCTTTGACTCTTAATCTTCTCTCTGTGTGTTTTTCATTTTGCTTTGACAGCCTTGTGGCTTCTCCAATAATCTCCCTGAACTAACAAATGTCATTTAACTGATGTTAAATAACAAATCTGTTGAAAGTATTTTCTATTTTTCTAGGTAGTTTATTTTTTGAACTTTAAATTTGTTCACACAATAATCCTATTTTACCTTAACAATAATTGCAAAGATAATACACTAATTATACATTTGAATAAGAAAAATTTCAAGACAAGTAATTCTATTCATTTGATTTCATATTCCAATATTTAAAAATCATTGCTATTTAAATGCAGCAAATAAATGCCTATTATTTTATTTGGCTTCATTTTTGTTTTCCAAAAGCATGCTCTTTAGACATCAATGTTCCACTTCTTTTAGTTTGAGAACATAGAGGAAGCATATTTTAAAGAGTTATACATGGTATGCACCATCAGATTTGGCCTTATCATGACACCAACTCATATCTGAGCATTAAAACTCACCAGTGGTTCTCTATTTTTGACCAGACGGATTATTTTTACTGAGTCTTCCTCATCATCAATATCTTCAGGCATAGGAGGTAACACAGGATCATAATTCTTCTGAGCCACAGTATCATGTACAGAGAGCAAAGCCTGTAACATTCAAAGGTTTACTTAAATATATATGTGTGTATAAATATATAAAATTTTAAACACATCAAACTATGAAGAAAATCAAAACAGCATTACAGTTTTGACATAGTAGTGGTAATAAGGCAATTACCACATTTTTTTTGTAACAGGTGCCTCTTACAAATTGAATGGGAAACAGTACTTGTCCATAGAGCAGATGGTAGCTTTACTTAGCAGCCACCTCTGTCCCCAGTGTCACTAATCTATGTAAAGAATCAACATATAATCTCCTCTAACCTGTACATTCTCTGGTTTATCCTTATAGGGGTAGCAATTTGGGGCAAGAGTGCAGGGGATGTTACCTTTGGAGGAAGAAAGAACATGTGGGCTAAAGATGTATAGTCAATGAGAGTCTGAGAATATTCTACATTTTTTTCTTTTCTACTATTTTTTCTCCTATTAGCAGAAAACATAACAATGATCACTATGATGGATTCTTTTTTCCCCCTCACTTTAATTGTTTGTGTAATTGCTGACTACTATGTGAATAAAAGAACAAAAGTAATTCTAGACCAAAAATGAGGAGAACACTGGAACTTTGACATGTCACTATTCACTATTTTAGATGAATGGGTTTTGGACTTTCAATGAACTTGACCCCTAATAAGCAACACTATTCACAAATTACTTGAGCCAAAAGCATATAAATCATTCTTGAATCCTCTCCTCTTACTGATATTCTCAACATCCAATACATATACTGTTTTTTAAAAACTTTTTTTTAGACACAAGGCCTTGCTCTGTTGTGCAGGCTGCAGTTCAGTGGTGGTATCATAGCTCACTGCAACCTCAAACTCCTGGATTCAAGCAATCCTACTTCCCCAGCCTCCTGAGTAGCCAGGATTACAAATGCATGCCCCAAAGTCCAGCTAATTTTTTTTATTTTCTGTATGAATGGGGTCTCCCTATGCTGGTCTCGAACTCCTGGCCTCAAGCAATCCTCCCACTCAGCCTCCCAAAGCACTGGGATTACAGGCATGAACCACTGCACCCGGTCCATATTCTATTAAATCTACTATATATCTAAAAATTTTCTTTTCTTTACTCTAGATCAGAGATTGGTAAACTACAACATCTATTTTGTAAATCAGGTTTTACTGGAACACAGCCATGCTCGTTCATTTATACATTGTCTATGGCTGCTGTCCTGCTACAAGGGCAAAGTTTAGTAGGTGGAACATCCACTTTTTACATAAAAAGTTGGCAGGCGTAAACCCAGCACTTTGGGAGGCAGAGGCGGACAGATCACAAGGTCAGGAGATCGAGACCATCCGGGCTAACACAGCGAAACCCCGTCTCTACTAAAAATACAAAAAATTAGCCGGGCATGGTGGCACATGCCTATAGTCCCAGCTACTTGGGAGGCTAAGGCGTGAGAATCGCTTGGACACGGGAGGTGGAGGTTGCAATAAGCTGAGATTGTGCCACTGCACTCCAGCCTGGGTGACAGAGTGAGACTGTCTGGAAAAAAAAAAAAAAAGCTAGCAAGTCCCTGGTCTAAATCACGGATGCACATTTTTTGCCTGGAGCAGTAGTCTTTACATGGTCCAGCGGCATTCAACTCAGGCCCATTTTCAAGTCAACAATTCACAGTGTAGAGATAGTGATTATTTTTAAAACATAACTAGCCCCTTAATAGCCCATCTAAAGTTGCTCATCAATCTTAGGATGAAAACCAAACTCTCCTGAATGTCCTAAAAGTCCTGCATACTGCTCCAACTTTATCTTACATTGCCTCTTACTCATTCAACTTGAATAACTCTTTCTCATAGAGGTCTGGCCAAAACATCCTAGAAAAGCAGATCCCCTGGTGACTCAATCCCATAGCACGTTGTTTTTTGCCTTTATACATGTCCATCTTTTATAATCATATGTGCATTTTATGTTTATATCATAAATATTTGCTGTCTACTGAAACAGAAGCTCTAAAATGGCAAATAGTATCTGTTTTTAATCAAACTTTTGAATTGAGTATAATATATATACAAAAAGTACAAATCATAAGTATATAGTGTATAGTATAAAATTTCAAAAATGAATATGACCCTATAAACATCTGCCAAACAAGAAATACAACATTAATCAGACCCCAGTGGCCTCTCTTATGATCCTTCCTAGTCACCATGCTTTCTATACCCCTCGGCGTGTCAGTCTTTGCCTCTATTTGAAAATCATAGAATTACAAGTGTGTATTCATTTTTCCCTAACATTAAGTTAGCAGAATTCACCCATGCTGTTACTGATGTTAGAAGTAATTCACTTTTCTTGTTATATAGTTTTCCAACACATAAATATCCTACAGTTTCTTTACCCATTATGCCTTTGAGGGGAATCTGGGTTGTTTTCAGTTCTTAGCTAGTATAAATAATGCTGCCATAAACATTTCAGATCTTTTGATGTACATATATATATGATGTTGGTTAAGTATTTTAAGAGTAGAATGTCTGGGTCACAGGTTATATAATAGTACATTCAACGTTAGTAGTGTTTTTCAACTACACTTCCACCAACAACATATGTGATTTCTAGCTGTCTAACATGACCTCAAACATTTTACATTATTAGTTTAAATTTGGCCATTCTGAGTGTATCGTGGTATATTCTGTGGTTGAAATGAATGAGACTGAAACCCTTTTAGTGTTTATTGGGCATGTGTGTCTCTTTGCGAGCTGCCTCCTCAAGATATTTGCATGTTTTTCTACTGCATCTGTCTTTTCCTCATTAATTTGTAAGAACTCTTTCTAATATAATAGACCCAAGTCTCTGTCGGTTATATGTACTACAAAAACACCCTCCCTTTTGGTAGCTTGTCCTTTCACTCTCCTTCTTGGTGATTTTTGTTCAATAAAGGATCCTAATTTTAATGAGCTTAATTAATTTTTTTTTCCTTTGTGGTTCATGCTTTTTGTATGCTGTAACAGTTTCAAAGGGGAAAAAATAAACAAAATCAAGATGATAAAATATCTGAGAGGATAATGGCTGCAAAGTTTTGATAACTGATGAGAGAAAGACTCTAAAGGTTCAGAAAGCCCAATATACCCTTTAGGAACAAGGAAAAATAAAAAGAAACCTATGCTTAATACGTCGTAGCAGAACTGCAAAACGGCAAAGGCAAAGAGAAGATCTTAAAAGTACTCAGAGCAAAAAAGGCAGATCATCAGAAAGGAAAGAAGAAAATTGATTGACAGCTGATTAACTGCAGCAGTAGACACCAGAAGACATTTCAAATACTTTCAAAGTGCTTAGAAAAAATAAAAGCCAGTCCAGAATTGTGCATCCAACAAAAGTATCTTTCAAGAATAAGATGAGGACCAAGATGAGGTTAACAGGAATCCACCTGAAAAAAACTAAAAACTAAAAGTAAATAAAAATAAAGGATAATAAAACAATAGTTTTCAAAGATGCTGGACATCAAGCAACAAAGGATAGAGATCACTGAGAGATAGGAAATAATGTGAGTCTATGATTGCCCCAGCATTACAGCCTAGAGTTTCCAGGCTGTGATAGGGAAAAGAAACACAGACAAACTCAGTGGTCTCCTTAATCTGAGAAAAGAGAGCTGAGAATCCAGGGAGGTAAAGTGACTAAAGTTCCCAGAGAAGACTATAGAAGAGGAAAGGGTGGCAGATATAGAATCTGGGAGATCTAAAGGAGGTCTTCCTTGAGTTCTGAGCAAAGTCCTTAGCCTTAGCCATGGAATCATATAAGAAAACTACCAGAAAGGATTAGAGCAGTGGTTCTTAACTGAGGGCAATTGTACTCCCTTGGAGTCACTGGCAATATCTAGAGACATTTTTTGGTTGTCACAATTTAAAGGATACTACTGCCATCTACTGTATTGAGGCCAGGGATGCTCCTAAACATCTGATCATATACAAGACAGGTCCCTCACCCCCAGAAACAATTATCCAGCCCTTAAATGTCAATAGTTCTAAGGTTGAGAAACTCTGCATTACAAGGAATAATCCTTGAAGCTTGCATAAGGCAGGAATAGTTCTTGTTCTTAACAGTTAGCAGGAAATACCTCATAATTCATAGACACTGAGAAGAGTTATGGGATGGGTATTGTCTCAATAATGGAAAAAATAAGCCCAAGATTTAATGCTGCTATGATCTCACCTAAAAAAAAAAAAAAAGCTTAAAAAAATAAGCCTTTGAAAGATCAAAATATTTCCAATAATTTAACTGTATAACAAAATAAAGCTCAAGAATACTATCCATAGCCAGGATCTTCAACCTCAGGCCACAGACCAGTATCCGTTTATGACCTGTTAGGAACTGGGCCACATAGCACGAAGTGAGTAGTGGCGAGAGAGCAAAGCTTCACCTGTATTTATAGTTTTTCCCCATTGCTTGCATTACCACCTGAGCTCTGCCTCCTGTCAGAAAAGTGGAAGCATTAGATTCTCATAGGAGCATGAACCCTATTGTGAACTGAGTATGTGAGGATCTGGGTTGCATGCTCCTTGTGAGAACTAATGCCTGATGATCTGTCACTGTCTCCCATCACCACCATTTTGGATTGTCTAGTTGCACGAAAACAAGCTCAAGGTTCCTACTAATCCTACATTATGGTGATTACGTAATAATAGAAATAAAGTACACAGTAAATGTAATGCACTTGAATCATATGAAATCACTCCCCAATCCCCATCTGTAGAAAAACTGTCTTCCATGAAGTCAGTCCCTGGTGCCAAAAAGGTTGGAGAAGGCTGATATATAGACACAAAAATACCCAGCAAAATAAAACTCATAGTAACTGGTAGTCGATTGAGATAAAACTCACAATGACTCAAAATTACTAGGTATGCAAAGAAAGCAGAAAATACTGCTCATAATGAAGAACAAAAATAAAACAATGAAACAAAATCCTGAAATTGCACAGATAATAAAACTAGATAAAACCAAACACTAAAAATCCACAAAAAGCAGATAAGAAAGTCAAAAGTCATTATTATAAC